CTCTTCAGGAAATGAGATTTTCTTTTCTATTGCATTGTCAGGCTGCAAATTTTCCAAACTTTTATGCTCTGCTTCCCTTATAAAACTGAACGCCTTTAACAGAACCAAAGTCACCTCTTGAATGCTTTGCTGCTGAGAAATTTCTTCTGCCGGATACCCTAAATCATCTCTTTCAGGTTCAAAGTTCCACAAATCTCTAGGGCAGGAGCAAAATGCTGCCAGTCTCTTTGCCAAAACATAACAAGAGTCACCCTTGCTCCAGTTCCCAACAAGTTCCTTATCTCCATCTGAGACCACCTCAGTATGGACTTCATTGTCCATATAATTATCAGCATTTTGGGCAAAGCCATTCGACAAGTCTCTAGGAAGTTCCACACTTTCCCACATTTTTTTGTCTTCTGAGCCCTCCAAACTGTTCCAGCCTCTGTCTGTCACCCAGTTCCAAAGTCACCTCCACATTTTTGGGTATCTTTTCAGCAATGCCCCACTCTACTGGTACCAATTTACAGTATTAGTCTGTTTTCACACTGCCATAAAAACATACCTGAGATTGGACAACTTACAAAAGAAAGAGGTTTATTGGACTTGAAGTTTCACTTGGCCGGGGAGGTCTCACAATCATGGCAAAAGGTGAAAGTAATGTCTCATATGGTGGCAGACAAGAGAAGAGAGTTTGTGCAGGGAAACTCCCCTGTTTAAAACCATCAGACTTTACTCACTATCATGAAAATAACCCAGGAAAGATCTGCCCCCATGATTCAACCACCTCCCACCAGATCCCTCCTACAACACATGGGAATTCAAGATGAGATTTGGGTGGGGACATAGCCAAACCATATCAGAGTTTTTCAAAGTTCCTATGGACATCTCATTCTCCAGCTTTACATTTTGAGGTAGGAGATTAATTAGCAGGATTTGTTTTTTGAGCACTGGTCACTACCCATCACTACTGCTCTTACCAGAGCAGGATCTGGTAGAAACAGAGTGCAGTAAATAATCCAGCTGAAACCAGCAAAGGGCAACAAAAGTGACCTCTAGCTGCCCACACTGTTCATTACTATAAAGACACTCCTGCTGGGACCATGACAGTTTACAAATGTCATGGCAACAAGCCATGACAACGGCCTGAAAATTACCTTATATGGATCTAAAAACTCCTCACCTCTAGAAAGTTCTAATAATACACCTCTTAATTAGCATATAATTAAAAGTGGGTTTAAATACAGCTTCCAACAGCCCATATGCTGCTACTCTGGGCACGCTGCCCATGGGTTACCACTGCTCTGCAACGAGCAGTATCTCTGCTGCTGCTGTACACTGCCACTTCAATAAAAATCGCTAACACCAGCAGCTTGCCATCAAATTTTTCCCTGGGTGAAGCCAGGAACCTTCCTGGGCTAAGCCCCAGTTTTGGGGCCCACTTGCCCTGCATCACTTTCAAGTGTTTGGTTAAGCTGTATTTGGCCCCAACTGTTTCCACTGCCTAAGACAGTGGCAAAGTTAATCAATGTTTTTGTTTTTGACAAATGACCCCTGGGGAAAAGTCTTTGCACTGGGTGAGTCTGGAGTGAAATCAAATAAAGGCAGCCTTGTACAATCTGCAGAACCACCAGATAGGTCAAATAATGACAGTTCTCTGGAAATTAGGCTCTTTAAAGGAGCTCCAGCACCATTCTACTTCCCCTGCTGGCTACCAGCCTGCTCATTTTCACAATTGTGGGCTGCTGGTTTTCAAAGCTACAGTGGACCTGGACATGTGACTGTTAGAGTAGGGCAAGTCAAAATGACACAAAACTCACTGTTCTTAGAGATTCAGCTGTTTGAATAAATACTCCCTGGATTGCTGCAAACCTTTGATAAATTTTCAGAGTTCTAAAAAAGCTGGTTCTGACAATTTTGCCAGTGTTCTCATTGCTGAAGAGAATTTTCAGAGGTCCTTACACCTTCATTTTGGCTGACATCACTCTAAGGCTATGATTAGAACATAGATCCTCTCACTCCTTGACCGAGCCTTCTTCTATTTAAATTAGTGGTCATCAAATTTATGCATATCAGAATTACCTGGAAGGCTTGTAAAAATACAGCTGGGCAACATACCTAGAGTTTCTGATTCAAGTCTGAGGTTGACACCTGAGAATTTGCATTTTATGTATATATTTATTTTTTATTTTTATTTTTTTGAGGTAGTCTCACTCTGTCACCTAGGCTGGAGTGCAGTGGCACGATCTTGGCTCACTGCAGCCTCTGCCTCCTGGGTTCAAGGGATTCTCCTGCTTTAGCCTCCTGAGTAGCTGGGACTACAGGCATGTGCCACCATGCCCAGCTAATTTTTGTATTTTTGGGTACAGACAGGGTTTCACTATGTTGGCCAGGCTGGTCTTGAACTCCTGACCTCAAGTGATCTGCCCACCTCAGCCTCCCAAAGTGCTGGGATTACAGGAATGAGCCACCACGCCTTGCCAGAATTTGCATTTTTTAAAAGTTCCCAGGTAATGCTGATGCTGTAGGTGTAGGGATTATAATACACTTTAGGAACCACTGCAGAATATCATGTAGTACCTTCAATCCATTGCCTTAGGTAGTGCTTCCCAACCCTGGAATCAACAATAATACATATAAGCCAATAATATATACTATTATCTCTATGTAGTAATACAATACATAAGCTATTATGTATTTAGTACTTCATTGTAGGCATGATATGCTTTACATTGATAGGGTTATTTAATCTATACAACTCATGAATTGGTATTATTACTTTCCCATATTTATAATAAATTGGAAACTGAGGTCAGAGAACAAGGTAGATTGCTCAGAGGCACATGGCTACAAATGCAGGAGCCAGTATGTGAATATGTCTGTTTGATTCTAGAGTACAGGCTTTTTCAGCTTCCATACCAGTGTTTCTCATAGTAAGAGCTCACTTATGATGCCTTAGTTAACTGTAGTTGGGACATGCATCCAGGATTAAAAACAATGACTCATGTAGTGAGAAAGTGATTGTTATTCTGGCTCTATTTTTTCTATCCTTTGATGACATCATGATAAAAATACCATTTGAGTGCTGTATCTTTAACGTGTGTCTAATGCTTGGTAGCTTGCCCTTTTAACAAAGAGAGTTGTCTTTAGACTTAGAGCCTTTAGTGGGCAACAATTTGTAGCCACAATTTAAAAACATTGTTTTGCATTCATTTTTCTTACAGTTACTTTCAACTTATAATAGGTGATGCTAGTTTTCCATTTATAGTACTTTTATAAAGTCTCCTTCTTAAAGAAATTAAAGAAAACATACATTTATTTAAAGAAAAAAGGATAGTGAGTAGTATACACAGATACAGTATGAAAAGGGTTGAAATTTGGGAATCTCTGCCTTCCAGAACAGGTTAATGTTCCAAGTGGGCCAATCTGGAACACCCTAAAGGGAAGTTAGGGAAATGTAATTAAAATATGAATTTTGTTTTTTTCAAAGAGGTACTTGGATGGTTAGAGTCAGAACTCCTACAGCAACACGTGTAAAGGCAGGGTAATATCAAGCGAGGAATGGTTTCTTGGTAAGAAATGTACTACAGGAGTGGGCTGGGATTCAGATGGGATTTCACAAAATGTCTGGCAAATTCTCATAAACCTAAATTTCTACAGTAAATTTTGGGTAATTTGTTTCCAACAACAGCCAAAAAATTGTCTCAGTTCACAGGCAAGAGAGTTTGCAGTTGTTAAGGGGACAGCACAAGAAGTGGGGCTCTTAATTCGTGGGGAAGGGGTCGCGATGAATATATCCTGGGCACCGGGCGACGGGTCGGGGGTAGGGAATAAGAGAAGACAGCGGGACTGTAATCAGAGAAGCGGACACGTTTCAAGATGAATAAAAACAACATGTGCGGAACGAAGAAACAGTTTTGTATCACTGACATAATTAACTAAACTGTTACCCAGGTTTAAATTAAGCAAGGTGTCCGGGGACTACAGCTGTTGTATTTATTTTGGCTGCATGTCATGGGAGCTGTTACTTCCCGGCTTGACAAACAGCCTCAAGATGCAAGCTGGGAGGCTGTGGTCAGCCCAAGGCTATGGAGAGGGAAAGGCAGGCCTCCTCTGAACCCCGCCCCGGCAGAATAAGAAGCGAGGGGCAAGGGTCAGCGCGGAAAGGGAGGGTGGGAAGCGCCATATAGTGCCCAGGGTCAGGGTGGGTAAACGAGCCTTTCCTCCTTTTTTTTTTCTCCCACCGATATCTGAATTGTAACTGAACTTTATGCCAGAGCTTAACCTTGTTAATCAGGTTTCCAGTCAAATCAGGATCGATTTTAACGCCTCCATTTTGGTTGTCGCTATTGGAATTTCCGAAAAAGCCTAACTGCGCCAGTCCTTCTGTTAGTTCTCCACACCCACCTCCCTTTCCCTGAGACCCCGCCCTTTTCTCTCAGCCCAAACCACAAAAGGCCGCGCTGTTTTAGCTCCTACACGGTGCTCCGCCCCCTCCCCAAACGTCGCAGTACTGCAGGGAAAGGAGGTGGGCCCGGCTGGGGGTGGGGGACGGAGTCGGCTTCGTCTTTCCGCTCTTCAGCCAATGGTGAACTCCCCCTGAGGGAGGTGGGGGAGCAGGCTGTAGAGAAGGTCCAAGTATTTTTCCCTTTTTCTGCCACGTCCCAACCATTGACGTGAGCCCACTCCTCAGGTTCTGATTGGGCGTATGCATTGTCCCCCGGCAGAGATCCTGTAAGCCGATTGGTCATCTCTGCCATGAGGGCGGGGCTTGCATACTCTCCTCCTTCGCCTCAACCGCGGCGCAAGGGGCGGGACTCGCCGCCACCGCCTCTGCTTCCGCCGCCGCCACCGCCGCCGCCGCCGCCACAGCCGCCAGCCGCTGCGCGTTCGGCGGGGGAGGAGTTGGAGGCGGAGAAGAAGGCGGTGGTGGCGGGTGGAGGTTCGAGCGCTGTTCTCGCTCCGGAGCCGCTGCACATTTCGGTGAGGGTTTTTTTTTTTTTTTTTTTTTTTTTCAATCTGGCTTGTTCCGCTGTAGGGAGTGTGGGGGTCGGGGCGAGGAAATTGCTGCGTTCTGCTCCTCAGTTTCTCTGTCTCTAGCCTCGGGAAGGAGCGGGGCCTGTGCCTGGCCTGCTGCGCCGGCCATGGTGGGTGGGGTTGATGGCTGTGGGAACCCTTTTTCGCCTCCTGGGCCCTGTCCAGCCCGGACCCGGGCCGCGCTCCTATCCGGGACGGTCGCGCCCGCCGCCCCCCGACGGATGACATCGGTTGGTATCGGGGTCTCCGCTGCCGCTCTTTCCTCCTGCCTCTTCTGCTGTCCTTGGTGACTTGGCCAAGGACCCCGCTGGCTTTCCCGTACACTCGCCACTGTCCAAGAGTGTGCCCCCCAACCAACACCTCACACCCCCCTTCTGCCGGTTTCCCGTCACCCCGCGTAGAGCGGAACCATCTTACGCCACAGGCCTGCAGCCCCCCTCCCCCGAGGAGCCTTCCGTTGCCGTCGCTCTGCTGGGCGTCTGCATTTTCCCCGATTGTCAGTGAGGCTCGGCACGCAGACACCCCGCTCGAGCCGCAGCAGTCGCTCTATTCCCGGGATCAGCACCCTTCCGCCAGGGCTGTTCTCTGTTAGCGATGTCAGGCCAGAGCTCCTCTTGCAGATGCACCTTTAATTTGGCCTCCCTCAGATGACTGTTAATCATTTTGCGCACATTCAAAATGGTGAGCTTGAAGACGCTCAGACCAAGTTGAAGCAAAGGGAGGTGGTAAATAGTCATTTTGCAGGGAGGAAGAGTAATCTGAGAGTTCTGTCTCCGGACATTAAAAAAAAAAAAATTTACATCCGCATAGGCACTTCTTTTGAGTCTGCTGGTTTTGTGAAGTTTCAAATTTTCGTTACAGGCTTAATGTATTCTGTTTTATCATGAAATATTCGGTCACATTTCTTTAAAATGGCAGTCACCTTTGCTGAAGGCTACAGATTATGTGAAGTGTATGTGAATAAACCTGAGGATAACAGTAATAAACGTTTAAACTATATTTTTCAGTGTTGTAATTGTCTTTTGGGATTCATATCAATGTTATATGAGATAACCACTTAATTTTAAAAATTCATTTCAACAATGTAAATAACGGACTGTTAGGTAAAATTAGAGTATTTCTTTTCATCCCCCAGTCCCACTCCAGTGTAATGTTGACAGTTTAGTGTTCATTTTTCAAAACGCTCTTACAAATGCACTTCTAAACACATAAACGTACACGTAAAGTTTTTTTTTTTGAGGGAGGCTATACCATATACCAAACATGTTTGCATACCGCTTGCTTATTGACTTATTTACATATCTTGAACACCTTTACTTGTTACATAAAGGTCTCCCTAATACTTTTTTAAAGGCTAACTGGTATCTCATCAGTTTGAATGGGCTATAATTCCCTTTTTGAAAGACATTTAATTGTAGTTTCTTTTTGGTATCACAAATAATGATTTATAGTGAAAACTTTCTAATTAATTGATCGATGTTCAATTACAAATTTTAACTCATCCTTGATTTAAAAAAATTAAACAGTATGGAAAAATGTAAGATAAAAAGTACCGCTTCCACTTCTAGTCCTGTTTGCATCCTGATGGTCTGCCACCGTTAACAATTCAGTAAACTTCCTCTATGTGTGATTATTTCTGGAGCATGGGTTCCTAGAAGTGGAGTTGCTCAGTTAAAAGATTATGCGTATTTTAAATTTTGGTAACCCTTTCTCCCTCTTTATTACTCTTGTTGAAAATATTCTTGAATGTGTCTTTCACATTTCTTCTTCTAGGTAAACTTTAGACTCAACTAAAAATCCTTAGCTATTTTGAATAAGATTGTATTGAAATTTTAGATTAATTTGGAGACAACTGATCTTTATAGTATTGAGTCTCTCTCCTCAGAAATGTGGCCTCTCCATTTTATTCACATCTTGTTTTATATTCTTAGGGAAATTTTTATAGTTTTTCTTTTTTTCCTTCATACGTATAACATTCCTTCCCAGTATTCCTAGCTATTTTATCGTTTGATACGTGTGGTGGATGGAAACTTTAAATAACACTCCTCTCTCTCTCTTTTCTCTGGTTATAGCCAAACTTTTGAGTTTTCTATCATGTATCAAATTATTTTATTGAGTTGATTATCAGGAGATAGTCACAGTTTTCTGGTTTCCTTTTCAGTTTTTATAACTTAGGTGTTTTTCTCATTGCTTTTGCAATTATACATCCTATAAAATGTTGAACACTGATAGATTAAAAACTAATAGCACTGATAGCTAAAAACATGGTATTGTTTCTGACTTTAAGGGGGAATGCTTCTAATGTTTTAGCATTAATTATGATGTTTGCTGAAGCTTTCTGGTAAAGCCGCCGATATTAAAATATTTCCTTCTAGTCTTGGCTTTCCAAGATGATTATGTTGTTGTTTCTGACATTTTTAAAAACCATAAAAGAGTTTTCTTATATGTATATTTTTGACATCTTTTGAGGTGGTATATGTGGTCATCACCAGTATTCCCTGGTTTATATTTTCCTGAGAGATCACCCTCTTAGAAAATCAACCTTATTGAGGATAATTTAGATACAATAAAATGTACTTATTTAAAATGTACAGTGTATTTTGTTTTTGACAAATGTGTACTCTGTGACCACCACCACAGTCAAGAGTGGAATATTTTCATGTCACAATTAAGGTATAGCATATTTTCATCTCCCCCAAAGTTGCCTTTTACAATCAGTCACAATTTCACCCTCAGGACTAGGAAAGCACTCATCCTTTTTTTCTTGCTATAAATTGGTATCATTTTCTCTAGAATTTCGTATAAGTGGAATTATGTAATACATACTCTTTTGTATCTGGCTTTTTCTCTTGGCATGTTTTTCAGGATTATCCATGTTTTTCTGTACTTAACTGGTTCATCTCATTTTATTGCTGAATAGAAGTCCCTGGTATTGACTTACTAGTTTGTTGACCATTCCACCTATTTACAGATACCTGGATTGTTTACAGTTTGGGGCTGTTATTAATAAATAACCTTCATTTATTGAACATTCATTTATTCAATGAGCATTCATTTATTTTGAATTTTTGTGAACATCTTTTTTTCTTGGTAAATTCCTAGAAATGGAACTTGTTGGGTTGTATAAACATAGATATTTAACTTTGTAAGAAACTGCCAAGCTGTTTTCCAGAGTGGTTGTCCTATTTTACATATCCGTCAGCAGTGTATGACAGTTCCAGTTGCTCCACATCGTCCTCAGCACTTGGTTATTTCAGTCTTTTAAATTTTAGCGCTTTTAGTGGGTATGTAGTGGTATCATACTGGGATTTTAATTTGCAGTTACCAGATGACTAATGGTGCTGAGAATTTGCTCAAGTGTATGTCTTAATGAGCAAAAGATCTGTTGACATCTTTTGTTCGTTAAAAAACAAAACAAAAAAAATGGGTGGTTTGTCTTACTGAGTTGTAAGCATTTTTTAATGCATTCTTAATACAACTTATTTGACACAGTGATACATAAACACACACAGTGCAATCTGAAGCTTGTTTTTTTTTTTATTTTCCTAACTTTAAAAGAAGAGCTTTTAATTTTGATAAATTCATCTTACCAACTTTTTCTTATGATTTGTGCTTCTGTGTTCTAAGAACTCTTTGCCTAATGCAAAGTTGTGCAGATTTACTCTTATGATTTTTCTGTAAGTTTTCTAGTTTTGGCTTTTATGTCAAGGCACATTATACATTTTGGGTTAGTTTTTGTATATGGTGTGTAGTAAGGGTCAAGGCTCATTTTCTTTTCAGGTGTATATGTAGTTGTAGCACCATTTGTTGGGACTACTTTCCTTTCCCCATTGAATTAACTTTGTCAAAAGTCAGTTGACCATATAGGTGAATCTGTTCCTGTACTTTTCTCTTGATCTTTGTGCCTATAATTTTGCCAATACTAAGTTGTCATGGTTATTTTTACTTTATAATAAGTGTTGAAATTAGGTAATATGAATCCTTGAACTTTATTCTTTTTCAAAATTGCCTTGGCTATTCTAACTTTACCATAAAACTTTTAGAGGCAGCCTGTTGGTTTCTACAAAAAGTCCTGAAGGGATTTTAATTTGGATTGTATTGAATGCATAGATCAATTTAGGAAGAATCGACATCTTGAGTCTTCCAATTCATAAATACATGTTGTCTCCATTTATGTAGGTCTTCTTTCATTTCCTTTGTCAGCATTTTGTAGTTGCATCATAAAGATGTTACTCATTTTGTTAGATTTATATCTAAGTAATAATTGGTACTGTTGTAAATAATAATTTTCTTAAATTTTAGTTTCCAGTTATTCACTGCTATATGTAAAAATACAGTTGGTTTTTGCATACTGACCTTGATTCTTGCAACCTTGCTAAATTCATTTATTCGAGTAAATTTTTTGTAGATTCTTTGGAATTGTCCTATGTTGAGAATCATGTTATTTCCAAATATAGATCCGTTTTATTCTTTTTCAATTTGTATGTAACTCCCTCCACCTTTTCTTCTTATTAGACTGACTGAGACCTCCAGTATGATGTTGAATAGCAGTGGTGAAAGCAGATATCCTTCTCTGTTCCTGATCTTAAGAAGAAAGTTTTGAATCTTTCATTATTGAGTGTGATAGAGTGGTGCTATAGATTGAATGCTTATGTCCTTCCAAAATTCATAGTGTTGAAACATAATCCCCATTGTGAGGGTATTTGGAGATGGAGTCTCAGGGAGGTGATTAGGTCATGAGGCTTCTGCCTTCATTAATGGATTTGTGTGCTTATAAAAGAGGTCCCAGAGAGCTCCTATCCCCTTATGCCATATGAGAACACAGTGAAAAAACTGCAGTCTGTGAACCAGTAAGTGGCCCTCACCAAACATTGAATCTACCAGCGCCTTGATTTTGGACTTCCCAGCTTCCAGAACTGAGAAGTAAATTTCTTTCTCTTTTTTTTTTTTTTTTTTTTTTTTTTAAGACAGAGTCTTGCTCTGTTGGCTAGGCTGGAGTGCAGTGGCGCAATCTGAGCTCACTGCAACCTCGGTCTTCCAGGCTCAAGCAATTCTGCCTCAGCCTCCCGAGTAGCTGGGATTACAGGCGTGTGCCACCATGCCCAGCTAATTTTTGTATTTTTAGTGGAGATGGGGTTTCACCGTGTTGGCCAGGCTGGTCTCGAACTCCTTACCTCAGGTAATCTGCCTGCCTTGGTCTCCGAAAGTGCTGGAATTACAGGCGTGAGCCACCGCGCCCAGCCAAGAAATAAATTTCCATTGTTTATAAGCCACTTCAGTCTATGGGAGCTTGTTATAGCGGTCCTAATGGGCTAAGACAAGTGGCCTTTTATCATATTGAGGATGTTCCCATTCTATTCTTGGATTGCTGAGAGTTTTTGTTGTTGTTGTTTTTGAGACGGAGTCTTACTCTGTTGCCCAGGCTGGAGTGCAGTGGCCCCATCTCGGCTCACTACAACCTCCACCTCCTCGTGGGTTCAAGCGATTCTTCTGTCTCAGCCCCCTGAGTAGGTGGGATTACAGGTACACGCCACCTGGCTAAATTTTTTGTATTTTTGTAGAGATGGGGTTTTACCATGTTGGCCAGGCTGGTCTTGAACTCCTGACCTCATGATCCTCCTGCCTTGGCCCCCCAAAGTGCTGGGATTATAGGCATGAGCCATTGTGCCTGGCCGAGAGTT